GATAATATAAATGACAAAATAAAATGAAAAGATAAGATATATATTCCAAAAAGAAAAGATAAAAGATAAAAATAAATAAAATTCATTAATAAACCATTTTTAAAATATTTCTGAATTATTATTGAACTATTTGTAAACTGTTGTTGATTTCAGAGCTAATTATTCATTGATAATTTTAAAATGTTGCAAAAATATTACAAGAATATTGCAAAAATATTATTGAATTATGATTGAATCCATAACTGATATACCAATTATATTATTCAAAATTATATGTTATCCAAAGATCAATTGATTAGTCACATTTTTCAAGTTCAAAAAATTATGAAATTAAAGAAATTTATGTTACTATAGTAACATTATATATAAGATAATTCTAATATTTAAAATATTATATTCTAAATATATTAGTATTTTTTGTTTTGATTAATCAATTAATCATAATACTATGAGTAAAAATATATTAATTATGACAAGAATAAACTTGAGTTCTGATAGTATATAGCCTAAGATATATAATAACTAGTATATTAATAAATATGAAGAAAGTTATATATAATTAATGATATTTTCAGATGATTATCCAGTAATGATATTAAAAGATCAATCAAAAGATATAAAATAAGTACTTAAAGAATGTAATTTTTGGCCAGAGCAAGAAGTTTGTTTAGTATATAAATAGTACTCTGAAAAATATGATAATAATTTTAAACAAATAGATTATTATATATAATAAATAATATTATAACAGTCTGATTTTTTGTGAATAATAATCAATATTAGAAAAGATAATTATTAAAGTAGGATATATTTTTGAATGATATCTAAAGTTTCACTGTAAGTATCACTTTATAGAGTAATATTAGAATTTTTTGAAGTGAAAGATCAGAAAGTTATATAATTATAATTATACAAACTTATTAAAATAAATTCCAGAAGCTCTCTTCATGATTTCAGTAATAATTATTTACAAATTTATATATAAGTCATAGAAATATATAAATATATATAATAAAAAATTAGAGAGTAGAATTGTCAAGTAGGCTATTAATAAATTTAAATTATATTATTACTTGCCTGAAATAATTGAAAGAATAATAAAGAATGAGAATAGGAAAAGAAAGTGAAAATAAAAGATAAAAATTGAATTATATATGTATTTTTTATGTTATTATATATTTAAATTTCATTAATTGATATAACAATAATTAAATATAAAGTCATGTGATTTTTTTGTAAAATATTATTTATCAACTTTTTTATTCAATTTAAATTTTAGATCAAAATTTTTGAAAATTGAAATAAAATTATGTAATTATTGAATATAAAATTTCAGTACTATATCTTTTTTTTTAAAAAAAAATTTATTTTAGTTTTTTTAGTAAAATAATACTTTATTTATTATTAAATTAAAGTATAATAAAATAATTAAAATAGTATAAAAAATTAATTTAGACTATTTTTTATTTAATATAAAAAAATTATAAAGATTAATTAAAATTTGAATAATTTTTATTAAAAGTAATTATTAATTTTTAATTTTTATATTAATATATAATTTTTTTGTAATAGCATATATTATTTTATATATAGTAATAATTAAAAATAATAATTTAAAGATTAAATTTATTAATAAAATATAATAAAAATTAAAATTTTTTCTTTATATTAAAATTTATAATTTTATTAAGAAATAATTTTTATTTTTATATTAAAATAAAGTTTATTAATTATAGTTTAACATATATTTTTTTAGATTTTTTTGAAAAAGTTACTCTAATTATAAAATTAGTACAAAAATTTTTATTAATTAAATTTCTTTTTAATTAGTAAAAGTTTTTGTATTAACTTTATAATTAAAATAACTCTTTTAGAAAAAATCTAAAAAATTATATATTAAATTATAACTAATAAACTTTATTTTAATATAAAAATAAAAATTATTTTTTAATAAAATTATAAATTTTAATATAGAAAGAAAATTTCAATTTTTATTATATTTTATTAATAAATTTAGTCTCTGAGTTATTACTTTTGATCATTACTATATTTTCATTATTCTAATTTAATTATTATATTTTAATTATTTTAATTAATATATTTTAATAATATTATAAAATTATTTTAGCTAATATAATTTTTTTACTTTTTTAATATCTTTCAATTAATTTATAATAAATAATATAATTAAGAATAAATATAAATTATTAATTTATATAATCTAAAATATTATTAATAATTTTATATAAATATAATTAAATAATAAAATATAATTAAATAAATATAATAATTAATTAATAAATATTAAAATATTAAAATAATTATAATAAAATTTATATTATAATAATATTAAAATAATTTATATTAATAATTATTTTATATTATTTTAAAAAATTTCAGAATTTACTTTATTTATAAATATATAATAATTAATAAATTATAAAATAAAATTAAAATTTTCTCTTTATATTAAATTTTTTATTTTCAAATTAAAATATAATTTTAATTTAATATATATTTTTTAGATTTTTTCTGAAAGAATTTGTTTAATTATAAGTAAAAATTTTTAATAAATTTTATTTTTAATTAAAAAAATTTCTGTAATAATTATATAATAAAATAATTCTTTCAGAAAAATCTTAAAAATATATGTTAAAATAAACTTATTTTAAAAATTATTTTTTTAATAAATTTATAAACTTTAAATAAAAAAAATTTTATTTTTATTAATAACTTAATTATATTAATATTATATATATAAGAATTAAATAATAATAATTTTTATAAAAATAAATTATTTAAAAAAATAATAAATAAATATCAAGTTTATAATTAACAAGAAATTTGAAAAAATAAAGAATATATTTTTTAATTATAATAACTCTTATAATTATAATCTGAAATTTTATTAAAAAAAAAGAAATTTTCTTTTAAACAATATATTATAAAATAATTCCTAGCTATTTTATTTTAATAATTAATTTTTAATTTTTCAAATATTTGTTAAAATAAATATAATTAAATATAAATTATAAAAAGTTTTTGGCCAATCAATTTTTTTCTTTTTATTGTTCTTGAATTTTCTAATACTATATTTAATAATATTATTTTTGAAAATTTAGAGTTGAATCATGAAATTAGAAAATCAATTTTATTAATTTTCTTTTTATATTAAGTTTATAATCTTAGTTCTATTAAAACTTTATTTAGTATAAAAGCAAAAATTAATAAAATTATATACTTTAATATAAAGAAAAATTCAATTTTTACTTTGGACCAACGTATATTAAAAATCCATTTATAATTATCATACTAAAAAAAGTATAGTGACTCAAATATAATATAACTATTGATAATGTATATCGACCCTTACGTTTCACGTGGATCGTAAATGGCTATGATACCACTGTTCAAATATCATGTGGTACAAATATAGGACCGGCAGTTCAATGGAACGGTTCAGAACGATTCAAATAAACTGCAGTTCGGACTTCAGAGTTTGGTTCAGCTTATAACTTGAACTTAGAAGTTCAGATATTGAACCGAACCGGATAAACCGTTTAACATTACTATTCTCATCTTTACTCATCTATAAATATAACGCCTAATGGCCGAAAGCAGTATGAATTTCGAAGATGAGGAGACAGTTGACCCTTGTTGTATGGGTTGTGGCTTAATCATTGAAGAGGGAAATGTGGTAGCCTTCGGTGAAGGTATATGGCACGTTCAATGGTAATTACAAATCGCTGTTCTTTGATTTGGTTATCTATTGTCAGTCCGCGAGCTGATCTTTATCCATTAATTTTTTATTGCATGCAATTATTATAACTAACGATTTTTTATTCCAACATGATCGTATTATTTCGTTGAATTTAACTCTAATCAGTTTTTGTTGCGCCAAGTGTCGTAATTTGGTCGAACATGACTCCAACTTACTATTATTATCAGATGGAAATCCCATATGCGAAAATTGTTCGTATGATTGTCATGTTTGTAAAAAGCCAATTTTGGATGAGGCAATTATGACTGGTAAGTGAGAAAGAATTCCTATGGTATATACAATTGAAAAACATTAACTAAAAATATATCATTTATAATTTAAGGGGACGAGTCGTTTCATATTGATTGTTTTCGTTGTCGACAATGTAGAAAAAAAATTGATGACCTCATTTTTGCTAAAGCAAGTCAGGTATACATTTTTTTTTAGAAAATTATCGATCTGAATTGCATTAAAGTAAAAAAAAAGAATTAACCTTTTTTTTACTAAATATAGGGAATATATTGTATGACATGTCATAATGATCGAGTGTCTAAAATTAAACGGGCCAAAGAAAAAGAAAAAGAAAGTAATCTACATATACCGCAAACATCATTTGAAAAATCCCTCCCATCATTACCCAAAGAACAACAAAAAGTAAGAAAAGATTTGTTTAGATATAATTGAAGAGAGATATTTTCTAACATATTTCTCAAATATTTATAGCATAATAATCTTCAATTACCTAATCGTAGCATAAATGCAAAAAGGTCTTTTGAAAGACCTACCAATCCATCAAAAATAGCCCCAAGGACTTCTGCTGAGAATATTCCAAAAGCACACACACTTCCTCCTAATCCTGGAAGAAGTCGTCGTCAATCGCGTATATTTGAAGGGAACTCAATAGGCGACGTATTTAAAAATAAAGTGTCTACACCGACTGCTAAAGCATTTGAACAATTTACCTCGAAGCCAATATCCGATAAAAGTATTAACATTAAATCTCGTAGCGAGTCACTTGAATCGTCGAAAAAAGCTGGACTTTTCTCCAAAAGAAACGAATCATTGGACAATTTATCAAGAATAATGTTGCCTTCTCGGCATCGTGATGAATTGATTGATACTCATTCGAGGAATTCATCAATTACGAGTTCTCGTAGTGATCCTTCTTTTGATATTTCCGATCGATCTTTTTCTGTTTCTAGTCAATCAAATGAGATTTCAGATATTATCTTGAAAAATTCAGAAAGCAAAAGAGAAGGAAAAATTTCGCACAAAAAAAACAGGCCTCCTAATTTCATAAATCATGCGCCTCAAAATAGTTTACCAAATATTACCGAAAGTCATACAATATTTGAACAATCTCAAAAGAGGGCTCGTTCAAGTGAAGCAACTCCAGCTCAAACAAGTCCTACAGAATCTAGTCCTCGAACACGTTCCCCTTCTCCTTCCTCACCACGTTCTGCTTCTCCTAATACACCATCTTCTACGTCACCTACCAGCCCTCGTGTTCCTCCTTCGAGCACAAATAATGCACTGGAAGGATCGACTCTTAATCTTGAGACTGGTCCACCTCTACTTCCGCCTCTATCTTTTGATGGTAGTGATGATGAAGAATTATCAAAATTATTAGCAAATGTAAAACTTGACAGAGCTCCTTCAAATAGAAATAAAAATCGTCGATCAAGAGTGTTTAGTTTTGATGAAGCGAAAAAAATATCAGATGGAATTGAGGGAAGAGATGAGAACAAGCGTTTTGGTGATGAAACATCGAGTTTTACTTCTATAATATTACATGAGTTTGAAAGAAAGAACAGTGATTCTTCAATAGGTTCTTCGGGTAGAGACATACCAACTGTTAAAATCGAGTCAGATAGCGCCGATTTAGGAGAATTGAAGCAGGAATTATTAGATACGCAAAAGAATCTTGCAAGTGCAGAGAGCAAGCTTCGAAAAATAAAGGTAATTAAAAACAAGAAATCAATAATTGCGATCAATCACTCTAACAGAAAGAGTTCTATTTTTAGAGGGCTAGTCAACTTGCTTTTGATGAGTATAATGAAGAATATAACAGAGAAGTTGCACTGAGAAAAGAAGCCGAGGAAAGCATTAATAAATTACGCGCTCAACTCGCATTACAATCTCAACAAATTTCAAATTTAAATAAAGAAAAGGAGAAAATGGAGAAAATGATTCGTGATTCGCAGATTGTCAAAAAAGAATTGGATGAAATGAAGACCAGTCTCAAGGAACTAGATGTGCAAAAGGAATTAATAATCAAAGAGATCGAAGGTTTGGCAAAAGAGAAGCAAGCGGGACTTGCAGGGTAAATTTACTTACATGAAATTAAAGTAACTTTTTATTTTCAGATTTCTAATATAATTTTTTATTTGTAGTTCTTTTTCTTCCACAACAGAATCGACTAAAGATCTTCCCGTTTCACTTGCAAGACATATATCAACTCACCTTGATCAGGTCAAACAAAATTATCTTGCTGAAATCATTGCCCTACAATCAGAACGTGATTCCTTAAAACAAGAAACAGAACAGCTTCGAAATACTCGAAATCAATGTGTCGAAGAGGTGCAAATTCTTAATGCAAAGAATTTGGAGTTGGCAGAGTTAAACAATGAATTAACAAAACAAATTGATACTCATTCTAAATCTAAGGGGCATCACAATAATAGTTTCAATTTCTTCCGTGGGAACAAAGCTCTGGGAACCAATGAAACTAACAACGTTGCTCATTGGGCTAGTCCAGGTCATTCACCTGGAGGTTCAATCTATAGCATAGAAAATCTAGATGTCAACAATCAAATATCAACGCCGAAATTCGTCCATCGCAATAGTATCAGTCGTGGGGAGACACCCAAAAAATTCAAATGGAAGAAGAATAATCCTTTCAATAAACTCCTTTCAGCTGGTGCAACCGTTGCATCGGATACATCCTCATCAGAGAATAAATTCGATACTCGATCAGAAATTCGATCAGAGGGTCGATCAGAATCTTCTACTAGCAAAAAAATGGAAAAAATGGCTAATTTGATTGCATTGAATCAAGAACAAAAAAAAGTTTCAAATGACTCTCCTGGCCATCGTGTTCATAACTGGCAGCAGACTTCCTTCTTGCGACCAATCAAATGTGAACATTGTCAAGAAAAAATGTGGGGTCTCACTGAATCTGGCACTCGTTGCATTGGTAAAGGAAATTTCTTTTAAGTTGAATTTGATGACTTAATCTTTAATATTAAACATTCGTAAATATTTTTAGCATGCGGAATGAGTAGTCACACAAAATGCTCTGCTCTGATTTTTGGCAGTTGCTCGGGTGTACAAGGTGCATATGCGGACACGGAATCAGAACACATTATTAATACGAATGCAACTTTGATTTTTGGAAACGATTTATCAAAACAATTGGAATTAGAAAAAGGAGAAATTCCATATGTAGTTCAAAAATGTGTAAAGGCAGTTGAAGCGAGAGGTAACGATTCTCAATCTTATTTATTAATCTCAATATTCCCAATGCAAATTTTTTTAAGCTTTTTCCTAATTAAATAAAAGGCATGGATTTTGAGGGTATATACCGTAAAACGGGTGGTTTTTCTCAAATGCGTGCTATCGTCGCGGCTTTTGAACAAGGAGATGAGATAAATCTCGATGACCCAAATGAATTCAACGATATTGGTGCGGTGACGAGTGTTTTGAAGCAATATTTCCGTCAACTACCCAATCCTCTTTTCACTTTTGACTTGTACCCAAAATTTTTGGAGGCTTTGTGTAAGTGGAATAATAATAAGCTTGGTAAAAATGTAATTGCTTAATATATGACTGGCTAATTAATTTTATCATGATTAATAGCTATTAAGGACCAAGAGGAAAAACTAGAAAAGTTTCGTACACTAATATCACAATTACCGAAAGAAAATTATGCCACTTTAAAATTTTTGATGCATCATTTACAAAGGTATGTAGATGCTTGTTAATTTAATAATTATTTTTAATTTGCAGTCCACCTCAATTTTTCCATTATACAGGATAAGAGAGAATGCATCCGAAAATCTCATGACGGCTAAAAATCTCGCTGTAGTCTTTGGGCCTACATTATTACGAGGACCAGATGCAAACTCCGAAATTCTCGATATGAATCATAAAAATGCAGCTATCGAATACATAATCTTAAATACTGAACAGTTGTTCCAAGACGAGACTGAGCCAAGACCAGATGGATTTATATAATAATTATCGTTTTATCAGACTCTGATTCTTTGACGAATTCATAATTATACCATTTATAATGGTAATTTTGGAATTCTTATTAATTTATTTATATATTCATATATTTATTATAAACTGGGAAGCTGGATGTGTAAAAAACGAAAGCAGGAAGAGGTGATGTACGTACTTAAAAGCAAAATCTTTTATTGGACAATTATTAGTTTGACGAACAAAAATTGATGATTAAAAATATATATTTAATTTGTGATTTATTATTCTTATTATAACTTCCCCCATTTTATCGCTTCATTGTTATTTGTACTAGATGTATTTTATTGTGAATTTTTCCAATTTTCGATTGGATAGATTCAAAAATTTTCTTTTTATATATATTATTTGTTATTATGATCTTTACATCCATCCCCCTCTTCCTATCTTCTCATGTTGTCTTTAATTTGTACAGACATTATTATATCACATATATATCTAATTGATAGAGTAAATTAGTATATGCAAAAGATTTGAATGGGCAGGGGAAATGTAAATACGGACAGAAGGTTGATCGAGGTTGTTGATTAGGTGTGTTTGATCTCCGCTTGGGCCGTGCTCATTTCCAACATGCATATATTACATATAAAAATATCGATATAGGCTGTGCCTTATTCAGTAATAGATTTTACCCAAAATGGAAGGTTGAATTTAAATGCCACGTGGGATAATGATTGATTTCCCGTGTTCTCGGGGCGTACCATTCATTAGCAAATCCGGCATAATATGTATGCAGTTTTATTTTAATATTGTGTATCAAACATTTAATTTATCTGTCCAATATCATTACTAAAATTGGCATAAATAAAATTATCTTGGCAAACACTTGGCTAAAGTTTTAATTTTACACAGCATATACTTCATTGTCATAGTTAACAATCATCATGTTGCTTTCTTTTTGATTATCAAATGTTTCTTTATATTGCTATCAAGTAATATAAATCTGCATGCTGCACAAATAAAGTTTTTTTTAATAGAACTTTGAAAATCAAAGGAATTTCTAAAAACAAGGAATTTCTATGCATATTAACTATATCTATGCAGTGTCTTAAATCTTAACTCGAAAGTTGTGCAAAAATGTGTGCACTGAACATTTTTAATAAGGTTTATCTCCGATGCTTAAATTAAAATTTGGTATGACTTGGTGTTGGAAATAATGTTGGCTCACCAGGTGACAATCACCATCGGTGAGCTTTATCACTATTGTAATAATTAAGTGCATGTTTGACATGGTGACATTGATTTCCGATATTCATTAATTTCTTAAGTTACTAACACAATAATGTTTGAGTCATGTGTATTCCTAACGCATATGCATAGAGTCTACTATCGATTGCCAAAGTTTTTTCAAGTTCTAATAAGAGAAATTTAGAGATAAAATTAAAAAAACGTTGAAAATTCACTTAAAAATAATCCAAAGCAAGTAACTAAGCACCTTGTAATGTTGAATAAAGATTCTTTATAGACACTTTTAATACTGTCACACTCCACTCGTCTTCCTCAAGTTGTTGTTTGGGAATAATGTTTTCGGGTAGACTTGCGTCAATCTTTAATATTTTATGATTAAAATAAGTTTTAAAAATAATTCAGTTTTATAACATTACTGGTAAATATACTCACCTCCATACAAACCATCCTCGTGCTGGAGTCAGTTAATCCCGCTTCATAGCAAATCGGCGGGGAAACACTTTTCACTGTTCCAGTGTAACCCGTTTCTTCCTTTAATTCTCGAATTGCCGCGTGTTCCGGTGTTTCATCTGGATGATCAATTAAGCCTGTTATTTATTTAAAGATTTTTAAATTAATCCCTCTTGAATCTATTATTTACACATACATATAGTATTTCTTACCTGACGGAAATTCGACACAGTATTTACCAATTGCCGGTCGATACTGAATTACCAGAATTATTTGTGGATCGATAGGCTGGGTTTGTTGAATTATTGTCGCGTGTATATCTACCGCTTTTTAGCACAGTAAATTCAATATAGATCCAAGACAAATGACCGATATACGAAAAATATATAGAAGAATTAAACCAACCATCAATGATTTCTCTTACTTCTTTAGCCGGCTCTTTTTGATGACTAACCTTATTTTTCTTCCTTCGACAAACTTCCCACCGTCGCGCAATATTGCTAACAGGATCCGTGTATTCGATTTCATCTAATTCTAACCACTTGCCGGAACCTAATTTTCGAATTAGTTTCGGTTTCGAAACAGACTTGATTCTATTCTGTCCATTCTGTTCAGTTAGACTTATTAGATCTACGTGTGTATTTGAGGTCATTTTGATATTGTGCGATTACAAAAGTCGTAAACTTTATAAAGCATTTCTTGTGTTGGTCACACTGCGTCTTCATTTTTTAAGATACTTATTAATTACATCACGCGAAATAGATGTCAGTGTGCGCCAATTTCATGATCATAGAACATTTATTTTTTTTTCCAAATGACTGAGGTCATTTCAAAGTCATTGTGTTAAATATAATGAAATGCGATAAAAAAATGCTTGAATTTACACATAAATAAAATACCATTCTAAAACAATATTAGTTTATTATTCTATTGTCTATAATGAGTAAATTAAATCTAGTGATATCTCGAGATTCAAACTAAAAACTGCAATTCAGATTTGAGCAAGACAAATTGTTGCGTAAGTGCCTGATCTGCACCACTTCCCGGCGATGGTTCGGTATAATTCGAAATGACTTCGCATACATACTGAGGATTAAGATCCATAGCACTAAAAGATTGAACAAACTCGAGTTAACTTTATCCAGATTATTTATTTACTGGGTTAATATCTTAACTTTCTACCTTGGATCATTTTTCCATCGATTAATAAGTTGAACTATCTCTTCGAGAATTAAATGTAGACCTGCGGCTTGATTAAGAGGCGGAGGCTGTAAAAAGCATACACGCATGCAATAATCCATCAATAATTGATTTGATGAAACAAATCAATATCATTTTATAAATATTTTATTACCCTTTCCGAGTGTAATTCTACTAAAATGTGAAATATCTCATTGTGTGGAACTTTCACTTGCAAGAAAATATTGACAATCCAGTCTGGTTTAGGTTTTTCAGGATTGTTGACACAATAAGTTGCTAGAATTCGACATATGAGCCCTGTTGACAAGAAATTCGCGTTTATTAATTCTAATAAATCGATTTGCTTCTCTTATTCGTAATAAATAATGAGAAAATAACAAACATGGAGGAAACACTAATAGTTCTGAGGGATAATATTTTCTTCCGAGCCTAATTACTTCATCGCTTAATTCTTCATAAGAACGGGCTATTATTACGCATAAATAATTTGGGTCAAATAACTTTGAAACCAATACAAAGCATAACCGTTTGTTTTTAATGAATCAAATAAATACCTTTACGTATTATATTCTGCCAGATACTCGACACTAGATCCATATCTGGTGGTTCACTCACGGTCAACAAATCCAAAGTACAATCATACAATTCATAAGGATGAATGAAATTATCCCATAACTAAAGAGGTCGTAACAATTTAATATCCCAAAAAAAATCATATTATTAAACTAGCTAATTCTGAACAAATCGACTTACCTGTTGCTTATCTAAGAGCTTGGTGTTTAATAAGTTTAATACTTGCTGAGCTTCCGGTCGATCTTGAAACATAGTGCTTAGTCTTTGGTATATTTCATTTTGAACTTGGCCAATCTATTATTCATATTAAAGTTCAATTTATTATCAGAATAAAATTTATGACTTCATGATTAACATATGATCAAACCTGAAGAAGATCCTCGTATTCTTTGAGTTTCTCCATAGCATTGGAAGGAGCGCTATAACCTACGCCAGCTTTCATGTAACCTGTTGCATAAGATAAACATTCAAGACGATCTTCCAAGTTGAAATTGTGTCTATGTAGAAAAAATATCTATTTATTAAAAAAAGGAGATACAGTATTGTAGCATAACGTGGCAAATCAAGAAAAATTGTTTCTACTTACTCCGAGGTGGCGAGTTGGTATTGGATCTCGGCAGCTTTGACGTATTGATTATGCCGTATAAGAAATTCGCAATATAACCTTAACTTCCCAATTTTTGAGCTTGAATCGTTATCCTTGAAATATTCTTCAAGATACGGAGCAGGAACCTATTCAACTATATTTAAGTCATAATCTAGTGATTACTGAAAAGTTCACTCAAAGAAAACTTACTTCAAATAAATTTCGAATTGAATCTTCTTTGTAAAACTCGTCATATACTTTATATAAAAATTCGTTATCTTTTATTTTTGCCCCGATATTTAGTGATTTGTTCAAAACCTTGTTTCGTAATTCCGGCATCACCTCTAATAAAATGAATGAGTAATTAAGAATTGATCTTATACTAAATTTCAACAAATTAAGATTACTGAATTAATGTACTTTTAGGGGATCCTCGACTAAATACTTCAGCTGATTTCATGCTTTCAATAGCTAGATCGTGATAGGGTGCACGATTAGTGACTCCAGGGGCCTTTGATCCACTCAAAGCAAGTTCTATCGCACCTATAAACAGAGTTTTGATCAAATAATAAAAGTAAATAATAATTACTTAAATACAGATATATTCTTTTGCCCTCATATTTTTTCTGGAATTCATCAAATATATTTACCGTCATGAAAAGAAAGATGCTCATATTCATGACATATGTTTTCGAGGGTATCATATGTCATATTTTCAATATTTTCAAGGAAAAGCTTCAATGATTTTTCCAGGAATGTGAATTTTGCATGCTCATCTTGAGAGTTTTTTGCTTGCTGCAGCTCTTCATATGCCTATAAATCCGAGACTTAATACTTTAATTGTGAATAAATATGACAAGATGCTATTTAATTAAAGACAGTAATGAAATAATGTACCTGGTAAATCTTTACATCCGCCGCCTTACAAAATGAACGGCAACGTTGCTCTAGAGAATAACTAAGGTTATCAAGCTATTTATTGTTTGAAGCACATAAAAATATAATATAATAATATTAGATTTGTGGAAATTATTTGAATGATAGAAAGTATCAGAAAATGAAATATTGTGTTAATTACCTGTGGTCTATTCTCTCTACGAATTATAGCCAATACTAATTCCTTCCAATTTTTTTTAGACTGCTCGTCGGTCATGAGCATCGCAAAAGTAGAATTCCATAGAGCTGGTTGTGATCGTTCGGGTATACTTTTTACAGAAAACATACATTTATAGGATTAGGAAATATAGAGATAGGAATAGGCACATATAAGTTATGATACCTTGCAATAGTGTCCGGTAGATTATAATCCACCATTAATAATATGAACGATAATGCATCAGCACAGTTTCTTGTCAGTTCATACAAATCAGTCAGCCATTGAATTTCATTCTATAGATGTAGAGATAATGAATGTACTTGGGAAATCCATTAATAAACGATTTTTTGTAGCATTCATACCTTCCAGGCGTCGTTTGGATTTTCTGGGGAGTAACTCAGCGAAGGATACCTAAATATAAATTCTATAAGCAATCAAAGCTATATAAAAAATATTTCAAAATACGTGCACATAAGAAAGAGACATACTCCTCATAGAATTTTTTTATTTTATTTAAACGTTGAACTATGTCATTCAATACGTTAGGGGGGAAATTAATATCGCGCCGCTTGGGGTTTGCACGATCAGGACTATTAATAATCACAATTTATCAGTTTTAACTTCTAATCAAATGAAACTAAACGAGACATACCTCGGCTTCAGAACATTTTTCTTCCAAATAGTCCTAAGAGTTCTGGCTAGACATATGGTGAAGCCTTCACTTACAGGGGTTCGTTTTATGCTTTGAAGACCAGCAGGCGCTTGAAAATTATTAAAAAACAAATAGATTTTGGTTTTAACGAATTATTCTGCAAATTTTCAATGGATAACTAAGATATTTGAACTCACTTGTGGTAGTTTTAGGTTCCTTACGGAAATAAAGAAGAAAATCATGGCTTTCACGTGTTGCAATTTCAAAACACATGGCGGCGGTTTCAATCTCACCATAACTATTGAAAAAAAAAACTATTAGTTAACTCGAATAGAACGATGAAATTTTTAGACTTTTGATGCAGACTTTTGAAGAAATTTGTTGGGTTCCGGCATTTCAGGCCGATATTTCTCCAATATATCCGTTAGATGATCCACAGGCCGTAACTTTGATACAATGGTCAATGCTAATTTATTTCATAGTGTATTCATTGATTTTTTTTATTATTATGAGATTAAAATAATAAATTTTTAAATCGTGTCCTACCTTCATCTGAAACAAATATGAATTTTCGATGAGGTGCCGAAAACTGGTTAATAAGTTCATTGGTATAATCATTTTGAGCTATTGGGTCATGCTGTGGATTACATATTTCAGCAATATCAAGCAATGTTCGTGAAATGACTTCAGTTTGATTGTATTGCTCAAAATATTTGGATTGTCTGCTCTAAAAGATAAAATGAAATTTAAAATCGAAAATTTATTTAATTTGCTATAAATCAATCCACATACATAACCGGTGGTGGTGGCTTGAGCTTTATTGATTTCTGAGAATATCACACCAAAGTTAGGCCACGTTAAGAGAAGCTTCGCCCTTTCTACGTCTGTAAGCTGCGCAAAGAAAAGTCCATTATGATATCTAGCCATTTCAATTTTTGGATATCCCGTGGATGTAATTGGATGTGGTGGTGGATAAAGAACAAACAGTAATTTAAAGATTTCTGGTTCCTTATTTTCAAAGTCAACGAATGGAGAAAAAACCGGTGTTTGCTGATAACCCGCGTATGACGCAGGCTGAGAATGATAGCCTAAAGTACTATAACAGGTAAAATACCAGCGATGACCTAATCAACAAGAGAAATCTCAATGATCATTATTAAATAGAATTATATAATAAATGTATAACAATCTTAAATAGTCGAATTCGTTATTATTCATACCAAATTGAGATATAGCTACCAAGCAGGTCGATGTGGATTCTGTTTTTAATATTGGGTGAATTGACAAAAAATTCCCGCTATCCATAGAAATGGGATTGTGACCTTGTTGAACTTTTGTCTCCAAGTTTTTATATATATGAAATTCCCCTTTTTGAATAAATGCGCGTCCATCTTTTCCCAAGTAATATGCCTGTTCAATAAAATCAAAATCAAATATTATTAGTCTATTTTTTGAATAATTAATCTCTTTTTATAGATACAGTTGACTCTTTATAATGAAGATTTTGTTTTGCAAAAAATTTATTATAGTAAATTAAAAAAATGTGATTTTATATATAAGAAAATCACTATAATAACTTCACTATAAAGCGTGTCAATTGTATAGACGTAAACCACCTTAATCGTGTTATCTGAGAACAATATATATGTCATATTCCTCGTATCATCGACCACAATGGAGGATATTGATGGATCTTTTCCTGCTATAAATAAAAAAAAGAAATTACGAGTCTTTAATAAGAAATTGATATTTTAAAAAAAGACCCAATAATTGGTATGACTTATTAACCAGAAAATCCATAAAATTTTAGATAATCAAAATAGCCGGACGATGTTAAGGCCTTTATACTTGTAGATCCTCGAAACCAACCTTCCTCCTTATATCATAATGAAATTTTTAGTAAATCATTTCTTATAATAAATTGATTTTGAAGTTAATTAATTCACAGACCTGATAGACTAGTTCATAAACTTTGTCTTTATAACTCATTAGTATGCGTCCTTTTTGCGTTCCCGTTAAGTTGTCATATGAAGAGCCATTTGTTGGAGCCCAAAGACAATCCTTTGGGTTATAATATGCCATCCAAGTGTCATTATCACGATATAACGCATAAATCATAGCTTTTTCATTGGTGATCATTAAAAGAATATGTTTAACTTGCTCCTCAAAGAAATCTAATTGAAAGAGATAGTAAGTAGCTCATACATTTGGAAACTTAGAATACATCTCTCATACCAGATTTAGCATTAAATACGCCCACATTTCGTATAAATTTATCTTCAACGCGAATATATTGTGGATTATTAATAGATATTCTGAAAAACAAAACAATTGAATGTTTGTATTATTAAACCATTTTTAATCGGGATCAAATTTTTATTGAACGATCTTCAATATGAGAAAAATTGTTTGTTTGTCTAAAATGAACGCGTTTTATTCCAAAATAATACGCGTCTTTAGACAGATATCTTCAAACGAAACAAATATTAACTATAAGAAGGAATATCTAAGAGATTCCTTATAAGCTTACGGTTTTTCATAATCCCAAAAGTAAAAATGATTGTCTGCGTAAAAATAAAAGGCATTTATTAAGGGGAAAACGCCAAATTTATAAGAGATTCCTATTGATTTTATTTCAACGTAAGAATGTGTATTAAGTATAAAGAGAAAAAACGAAACGGAAAGAAATGTCAAACTAAAGAAGTGTACCGGAAACGCGTTGAGTCAATTGTTCTGGATAATTCAAGCGTTTTTCAGCTTTTAACAAAAGTGTTTGTTCTTGATATCGTTCAGAAGAGAATGGATCAGATTCTACTGCATGTTTATGTGGTCTTTCTAAAGTTTCAGTAAACAGCCGCACTTTCAATAATTCTTCTGAATGTGTGACTTTTGCTTCTATATCAGCTTTAACTGTTGAAATAGAGCTTTGCATAGTGAAATTAAGTCTTTTTTCGGATAAGAATAAAGGGTCTCTTGTAATCAGATGATTGGTGTGATCATAATTTTTGGTTTTTTTTAGTGACTTGGCGCAGTAATTGAAGCTTTATTTTAAAGCTTTTTGAAAACACCATATAGAAAAATCATATTAGAGTTCTGACGAGTGACAGAATACTAATTGGATTTTTCACTATTGTGCCAGTCATTAGGAAGCTTTTTGGCCAGTGAAACTTTCGACCGCTGAAACGTTTATGATCATATCACTCTTTCTATCTACCTTAATTTGAATATTCTGAGCATAAAAAATTCAAAAGGATATTAATCATGATTATGGAATTATGTCTCAAAACATCAATAGTGCATAAATAAACGAATATCACAAGCCAATTCTTCGAACATGAAAAGGCTAAGTTAGAAATATCGTGTCATTTATACTTATTTTATTAATTCGTAAATTACATAAACAGCATGTACGAGATATTATTTCATCAATTATAACGCACTTAATTCCTTTACACTCTGTATTCAATCCGTTGATCTTAACAAAAAAAATATCTCAATGTTAAAGCAAATCATCAGCATATCTGGATGTGACTTGACAACTTTCTTAGGAAGATAACCAATAACGTTCCATTACATATATTTGTTTTCCTACTAACATTTTAAGTGTTATTCCATCCGATATGCATTTGTTCTCAAGCATCTTCTCATAGATATAAATCAAAGATCTTTTACTACTTTATAGATTGTCTTATCAACTACAAGTTCATCAGTTTCAAACTTTATTATGAAATGAAAATTATTAAAATTGTTAATTGATATAATTCTAGCAAAATCTGGATCTTATTAATCAATTTCATTATTATTTGAAATTTATAGTTTATATTAAGATTATCTAAATCAATTTTTTAATTTTTGTTACATTATCAAAGAATTGGTCTAGATTTAATAAATTTGAATCTAAATTCTTAATATTATAATATGAGATTTTATAATTTTTTTAATATGTTAATCTAACATAATTCTATTAAAATTAAAAAAATAAAAAAAAGAATTTAAAAATATAATAAAAAATATGATAAAAAAATGTAATATAAAAAAAATAATCAAATTATATATATAGAAAAAGAGAATAAAAATAATAAGTCAAGTATTAAAAAGAAAAAATTATTTAATAAAGAATTATTAAATAACTTATATAAAAATATTAAATTTTTTATATCTGAATTTTTCTTATTTAAAAAGAATAATTATCAATTAATATATAAGAAATAAGTAATTAAGATAAAAAAAAATTTCTAATTAATATAATATAAAATATTAAAATAAAAGTAATAAATTAAAGTAAAAAAAAAGTTATAAAATTATTATTTAAATAATAATATATTATATATATTAGATTTTTTATTCTGAAATTATTATTATAAAGTAAATAAATAAGTAAAAAATAAATTTTATCAAGACTAAAAAATTATTAACTAAAAAAATATATTAGAAAATTAATAATTAATAATATATAATATATATAATATATATAAAAAATATATAATAAAAAAAAAGATAAAAAATTTATAAAATAATATAATATAAGTTAAATTTAATTAATATAATAAAAAAAGAAAATATCTAAATATAAAAAGAATATATATAAAGATATAAAATAGAAAAAAAGAAAAATTAAATAAAAAAAAATTAAATTATATAAAGATTAAAAATTAAATAAAATTTAAATATATAAGAATTTTATAATAAATAAAAAAATAAGTAATAAAAAAAAATTTTTAAGATAGAAAAATATAATAAAAAAAATTTTAAAAAAAGATTTAAATTTAAATAAATAAAAATAATAATTTAATTATTAACTTTTAAAAATTAAAAATAAGTTATTATAAAATATTAATATATAAAAAAATAAAAAAATAAAAAGAAATAATTTAATTAATAGTAATATTCTAAATTTAATCAGATAAAAATAATAGTTTAACTATTAATATTAAAATTTTAAATCAAGTTAATATAGAAAAAAATTTATAATTTTCAAATATAAATTTATATAAGATATAAAATTAATAAATATAATAAAAAAATTTATAAAAAATTTTATAAAAAAATATATTAAGTAAAAATTAAATAAAAATAAGATAATTTTTCAAATTATTAAGTTTTAATATATAATTTATTTTATTATAAATAAAAATTATATTATATAAAAACTTTTTAAAATATTTTTAAAATAAAAAATATAATAAATTTTTTAATTTTTATAAAATATAAAATATATTAAGAATTTATATTATTATTATTATTATTATTATTATTATTATTTTAGTATATTATAATATAATTCTACTCTAGATATAAGAAACTATATTAAAATTTAAAGACTTTAGTTATTTTATAAATAGTTTTCTATTATATAAAAAGAACTATTAGAATAATTTATAAATGAAAGTACTAATATAATTAATTACTAATAATCTAGAATTAGATTAATATTATAAAGTTAATAAAAATATTATGAGAAGATACTAACTATATCTTTTACTTAATAAAGTTAAAATATATTAATTTAATATAATCTATTAGAGGACTAATATTATTTATATGATAAAAAGAAGAAAACTAATAAATATAAAGTTTTAAATCTGAGTAAGTATGAAAAATTGAGTTATAAAAAATAAAGAATTTATAATTTAAAAATTTATCTTTGAAATTAAAACTGATAATAAATAAAAGTTTTATTTTTATTTTAATATATATTTAATATTTATATATAATTTATATCTAATAATAAGAAAGTCAAATAATTTTTAGAATATTAAGATAAATTAATAAATAAATAAAGAGAAAATATATAAAGTCTTAACTTAAGATAAAAATATATATAAAAAAAGTAAGTATATATAATAAAAGACTATCAAAAAGATAAATTATAATAATAAATAAAAATATTATCTCAATTAATTATGATGTAACAATTTTGATTGGATTATCTTCTTTTAGATCTCTTTTAGCTTAGATCTTTATTTTACGCTATCTGTATAACAGATTAGCTTTGTATTATATTTTTAAGAA